AAAAAATCTCTTCACAGAAATAATGGCAGAAAACTTCCCAAGCAGGGGAAAAGAGCTTGACATACAGATAAGTGAGGCATATAGGACTCTAAATAGCCTTGACCAATGAGAAATGTAACTGTGTTGTATACCTAAATGTACCAATAAAAGAATTTAATAAAGTGAAAAAAAAAAAAGACTTCAGTGACTCAGGAGTTGAGTAGCTTATACAGTGTGGATACACTGGTCAAAGGGATGATGTATGCTCATGACAAGACAAAATTACCTCACGGTATTCAGAATAATGCACAATTTAAAACTTATGAGTTGATTAATTTAAAATTTATGAAATCATTACTCCTTTATTATTTTTAGGCTACAGTTGACCTTAGGTAGCTGAAACAGTGGAAAATGAAAATATGGATAAAGGGATCTATTGTGAGGGTTTTCAGGTACGGTTAGGGGGTCCCATTAGTTGAACATCTTCCCATCTTATCTTCCCTACAGCTCCCACCACCCATCACTTAGGGAGCCTGCTGCTCTGCATGGCTCTGCCCTGCACACTCCTCCTTTGACATTTCCTGCAGCTTCCTCCAGCATGTCATTCAAGTTTGCCCTCAAGGATCACCTCTCGGAAGCCACTTTTCCCCTGTACTACCTTATCTAAAATACCTCCACCTTCCATCCCACTCTGTCTCCTCACTACGCTGTCTTCAGAGCACATACCTTCTGACATTCTACATGAACTCACTGGCTTGGTTCGTTTGGTTTCTTCACTGGAATTAAAGTGCCACAAGAACAGGTAGTTTGTCTTGTCTGTTCCACAATATCCTCAGTGCTTCGAACAGTGCCTCTCAGGTAGTAGGTACTCAATGTCCACTTGCTGAATGAGCAAATGAATAAAGAGTGAATGTCTCCTGACACATTTCTCATCTGAGTGCAGGCCCAAGCACCCAACTGCCATCATTTTCTTTGAGCCAAAACATTCCCCTTCCCTACCTCCTCATAGCATCTCAAGGGCACAATTCAGATATCTGCAAATCAGTTCTAAGCATTTTCCTTTCTCACCAATGTTCATATAGATAATCAGGCACTCACATAAATTTTATTGCCAATTATCTCTCAAATCTGTCCACTCCAATCTCCCCATTGCCACTGTTCTTATCTCATTTGCATCATCCTCCACTTTTGGCTGAATGGTTGAAACAGTGTCTGTCCTCCTAATTTTCTTTCCAGGCTT